TCTGGCTCTGTCAATCTGTCTCCTCACTTCCTCGTGTGGGTATCGTAGTTTACAGAATGCTTGTTGAAGATCTTGTAGGTGTAGGTCTCTGTCTGAGGGGTTGGAGCATATGCGGTTGTACCTCAGTGCTTGGCTGTAAACAATGGATCGTGTAGTGTGTCCAGGATGGAACCTGGAGGCATGCAGGTAAGCATAGCGGTCGTTAGGCTTACGGTATAGGGTGGTATTGATGTGACCGTCACTTTTTGCTAACTACAAAAGCAGATTCAGACTAACACAGATACCCCTCTGATAATGGCGTTAAAATTTATATTAAAAAAAAAGTATGGAGACCAGTATTGTGTTGATTTTTCTTTGTTGTTATCACATCACAACACAACCTCTCCCCCCACCCCCTTGGGTTTAATTTGCTGTTCACTCCCACCCACTCCCTTTAGGCATTGTTACTTTTCATTTAATCTCTCACTAAATAAGGGTATGTCTACACTACAAAGTTAGTTCGAACTAACTTAGTTCGAATTAGTTAATTCGAACTAAGCTAGTTCGAACTAACGCGTCTAGAACTAAAAACTAGTTCGAACTAGCGTTTTGCTAGTTCGAACTAGCAAAACGCTAGTTCGAACTAGTTTTTAGTTCTAGACGCGTTAGTTCGAACTAGCTTAGTTCGAATTAACTAATTCGAACTAAGTTAGTTCGAACTAACTTAGTTCGAATTAGTTAATTCGAACTAAGCTAGTTCGAACTAACGCGTCTAGAACTAAAAACTAGTTCGAACTAGCGTTTTGCTAGTTCGAACTAGCAAAACGCTAGTTCGAACTAGTTTTTAGTTCTAGACGCGTTAGTTCGAACTAGCTTAGTTCGAATTAACTAATTCGAACTAAGTTAGTTCGAACTAACTTTGTAGTGTAGACATACCCTAACTGTGTTTCAGATTAATTTGCCTCAGATCCTTTCACAGAATCACTTTGTTACTTTCTGCCCATTCCTCTCAAATCCCTCCAGGTTCCTTTGTATCATTCTGTGGATCTACCTGTTGTGTTTTAATAGTGAACTTTTAAAAAATTAGAACTCTTCAAAGCCTGATTGTCTCTTTTATTCTCTTTCAGATCATGTCTCTAAACCAAAAATCACATGGACATGTTCAAAAAAAACTGTGAAAGTAATATGTGAGGTGAATCAGACAGATAAAGCTTCTATTCATTTGCTTCAAAATAACAAAGCTGTCCCTGGAAATAAGCCAGCTTCTGCAAATGGAAAACTGAAGATTGAATTTACATACCGGAACACCACCTTTCCTGCAAAGTTCCAGTGTGAAGTTAAAAATGACGCTGACAAGAAAACTGTTGAGCAGGAAATCAGATGTTCAGGTACAAAGTTTATAATGTAGAAAAGGTCTCCTAATCACAGTCCACAAAGCGTTACAAACTTACAGTTGTCTCCAGACTGCTGATTCTAAAACCAGGGTCAGCCCAATAAAATAACTAAGAGGGAGTTGGCATCCTTTAGGTTTTGCGCAATGCACAGCACTGCTACATAGTAGGAAGCAGAAACCAAACCCCCTTTTCCAGTTTTTTTTTCCAGAACCAATAGTAGCTGCCATTTCATGACAGACAACTACAGCTGCAGAGGTCATTTAGAAACATGTTCCATTCCCTCTGGGAGCTGGGATTAGGTGGTGGGGCTGTGACTCCCTGGGTTGGGGGATGGGGGGTAGGGCTGGAGCAGAGGGGGAGGTGAGGCAAAGCTGCGTGGTGCTCCTGGCCTGCCCCTCTGTGCAGATTGGCCCTGGCTGTGCCAGATCCTCCTTGGAGGACGGGGGAGGAGGGGGGTGAGGGGAGTGCTGCACAGTTTGGGTGGCACTGACCTAGAGGGAATTATTTTATCCCCTACCAAAGCACACAGATGCTGTACAGCAGAATACAAATAAATCTAATCAGAATGCTGTAAATTGCCACCATCTATAAAACCACAGGCAGGAAGTACCATTTAAAAGGCAATCTAATGATATGACATGGAAGATAAGCATGGGGTAGCAGAATCATTCTGAAACCACATTTGGGTGGGGGAGCTTTAAAAAGAAGGACAAAATGGATGAGTCTTGTGGGAGCAGAAGATCTGTGCTCAGTTCGGCTATGTTTACACTCGCGGCTTCTTGTGCAAGACCATCTTGTGCAAGGGTTCTTGTGCAAGAAGTCTTGCGCAAGAAAACGTCCACACTGCCATGTGTGCGCTGTGCTTTTGTGCAACAGCGCCCACGGCAGTATAGATGCTCTCTTGCACAAGAAAGCTCTGATGGCCATTTTAGCCAGAGGGCTTTCTTGTGCAAGAAATCCCTGCCGAGTGTCCACACTGCCGTCTTGCGCAAGAGGTCCTGTGCAAGAGGGCTTACTCCTGTTAAAAAAGAGTGTAGCTCTTGTGCAAGAAGCCCTCTCTTACCACGCCGTACTGTAAATTTCCTTGTGCAAGAGCGAGCGGGCAGTGTGGACGCTCTGCGGATTCTTGCGCAAGAATGGCCGTACTTGCGCAAGAAGCCACGAGTGTAGACATAACCTTCATGTCTTGGCCATAGACTTTCTGTGTGACCTTGGGGAAGTCATTTAGTCTTTCCGTGCCTTTCTTTCCCCATGTGTAGAATGGCAATACTTCCCCCTTAGCAGGTGAACTGCTCAGGCACTGCAGTGAGAAGTGCTTGTAAATAAGTAAAACCAGTCAACTTTCAAAGGGGGTGAGGAAAGGGTCCTACACTGTGGAGCTCACTGCAGTGAAAGGATGATTTCTGCCCCCTTTGGCCCAGTGGCAGTGCCATGGGCCACCCATTTAGCACCAGGCCCACCCTGATCTGCGTCTGAGAGGTAGCAGCTCTGCCAGCACCTGGTATGATGGCACTGGCTCTGCCAAAGTGAAGCAGAGGCTAGCGAAAGGGGGAGAGAGGCGGCAACTCCCAGTCACTTATGGGAGAAAGGGCAGGAAGTGGCTTCTCCTGGTCACAGCGGGCGTGCTCTGGAAGGAACTGGGGTAGGGATGCTGACACTGCATGTCCAGGCTCATTCACCTTCTTGGAGAGCGTGGAGGTGATCGTGGGTGGGGAGGTGTGAGAGACACACAGCACCGGGGTGTGGATATAAGACCCACGTCTCTGGTCCCTGTTCTCCCAGCAGCAGCTGGGCAAGCAGCCCCAATGGTTTCTGCTTCTGCTACATTTTCAATGATCTCCATGAGCTGCTGCAGCCTCAGCATTTTCCTGAGGGCAGCCCCCTGCAGTAGGCAGCCCACTCTAATGTGAGGGAAGATATAAGACTCGAGAAGCCACTCTTAAACATAACCAGGGATAATTGGCAAGATCCAGAGATGACGCCACCACAAGGCAGTGTTGCATCGCTGTTTCTTACAGTCACATTCATTTGTGTATATGAAATGCTTGGAGTTTCTTGCATGAAGCACCTTCTTTCATCACTCAGGGCCAATCCTCGCTGTCTGTAAATTAACATCATCATCATAATTAATGTCTATCACTTGTATAGGGCTTTTCATCCCCAGATTTCCCAGTATTTTACAGAGAAATCAGTGTCGTTCCATAGTTCCGTTGGCTTCAGTTGATTTCAGTTGAGAGTGTGGCTCTCCGTGTCCATTGTGATTTGGCTGCTGACCACTATCTCTCATGTATCAGCAGCTGGGTATTTCAGATTGTCTGACATTCTGGAATGTATTGGTTTTTTTTCTGTAGCGTCAACAACTAGTGAGAGCATTTGTCACAACGAGACCACATGTGTCATATCACAAGAAAGTTCAAAAAACACACCACAGGTTTCTTCCTGTGCAAATTAGAAACACCAGGGATGTGGGGAGGGGAGGAAGGGCAAAGGTCAGCTGGCCCTGTCACATTAAAATTTCTTCAGGTCTTAGTTAGCCCTGGGTGGCAATGTGGCACAGTTGATAAAGCACAGGAGTAGGACTCTGAAGGCTTGTGATCTATTCCCAGCTCTACCACTGGCCTGCTAGGGGACTTTGGGCAAGTTAGTTCACCTCCCCGTGACTCAGTTTTCTCATCTGTAAAATGGGGATAATGATACCACTGTACTGAAATCTATGATGAAAAACAACATATAAACGCTCAACATTATTATTACTTGAATCTCTTGTTTTAAGTGGGCTACTTAGCCAACTCAAATAACGATGATGATATAATTGTATACAGAGTGGCTGTGTCTATACTGGCACGATCTTGCGCCAGAGCTATGCAAATGAGGCTCAGCGTGGAATATTGCCAAGCCTCATTTACATAACTAATGAGCTGCCATTTTTGCAGAAGAGGCTCTTGCGCAAGACGGAGCTGTCTACACTGCCCCTTCTTGCGCAAGAAAAACCCTCTTGTGCAAAGCTGTTATGCCTGAAAATAATCAGCATAATGGCTTTGCGCAAGAGGGTTTTTCTTGCGCAAGAAGGGGCAGTGTAGACAGCTCCGTCTTGCGCAAGAGCCTCTTCTGCAAAAATGGCAGCTCATTAGTTATGTAAATGAGGCTTTGGAATATTCCACGCTGAGCCTCATTTGCATAGCTCTGGCGCAAGATCGTGCCAGTATAGACACAGCCACTCTGTATACAATTATATCATCATCGTTATTTTGGGGTTTTTTTGGGAATATCACAAAGCACTTTACAGATACTGAGTAATTAAGCCTTGCAGCAGTCAGCCTGAGGTAAGTAAGTATTATTATACAAGGCATCCCTCTATACATTGTCCTGTTATATGTCAGTTCTGCACTAACGTCGTTGACGCTTGTAGAAATTCCCTCTTCCATCACACACAAAAAAAAAGACCAATTTGTGCAAATAGAAGTCAGCCACAGGAAAAAATTCCCTGCTTTATGTCATTTCACTGTATGTCCACATTTTTGGAACGTATCTTGGACATAAAGGCTACGTCTAGACTGCAAGCCTCTTTCAAAATAGCGTCTAGACTACAACTAGTACTTTTAAAAAAGCAAGCCGCTTTTTCAGAAGTGAGCACCCAGGCAGTCTGGATGCTCTCTTTCGAAAAAGTGCAGTTTGCATTACATAGCGCCTTTTTTGGAAAGAGCACTTTCGAAAGATCGTTCTTCGTTGTATAACGAGGTTTTCTGCAGTCAGGATTGAAAAAACTGCTGCATTCTTTTGATTTACTTTCGAAAGAACACAGCAGCGGTCTAGACCCAGGGGAAGTTTTTTTCAAAAAAAGGCCACTTTTTTCGAAAAAACCTGTAGTCTAGACAAGCCATAGAAGGGATGCCCTGAATCCATTTTATAAGAGCGGGAGGAAGAGGAAACCCTGGGATAATTAAAGACAGATTTCATAACATAATACTCAAAGCATGTATATCTTAGCACACTTTGGTATACCAGTCACCCCCCTTTTGTAAGCAAAACTTTGGATTTGCAAATGTGAATGGGAGCTACTCTACATTAGGGATTTGTGCATCAGTACAGGTGAAAAAACTTCTAATGCAGACAAGTTGTACGTTGTAAAGATTTGTAACATGCACTGGTTTTGTGTTCAGTGGGTATGCAAAACAAGTCTAAATGACACTATGAAGGGGAGGGACGGGCAGGGCTATGTCTTACATCCTTCCTGATGTCTTTCCTGCTACCCACTTATTTTTAGTTCATTGGGCACAAGGTTTGAAGTGCTTACGCAAATACAACCATAATCTACTTCAATGAAGTTCTGCCAAAGGAAGGACTGAGCCAGGTTTTGATCCTCAGTATGAAAATGATTCATTTGCATGCCCACTGAAGACAAAAATTGGTGCCTGATACTGCACTTCACATTTCTATTTGGCCAATTGACCTCCAATGCACAACTTTACATTTATGTTGAATTTAGCCCCCCTCTGTGTCCCTTCTGAAAGGGCTTACTCTTGAGTGTATGCAATCAAAGAGACACGTTCCAGATGCAGAGGGGAATTCCCAAAGAGATGTGATGCTGGAGGGGGAAGTGGAGATTCAAGCAAGCCTATATGGCTAAAATAAGGAACAACTGCACCAACATCCTCCCTTAGATCAAACTAACCTTTTACTTTGTGGTTACATAAAGTCCAGTTAGTTTTTCTGTTTCTTCACCATTGATAATTGTTGGGTAGCTCTTGCCTTCAAGTTTCAGCCAGGGCTGGAAGAGCAAGCTCTGAAATGCCAGGAGACAAGCTGTTCTCACAGTATTTTCAGCTCAGCAGAAAGCTCTCCTGAAATAGTCTGTTTTTTATCACACTCTGAGCCCCATTTTTGTCCATTCAAAGCATTTTAAAAGTCCTTAAAAGAGCCAGAAGAGCATTCAGATCTTTGTATGCCATTGTAGAACAAGACTTTTGAGGTTTGACCATCACTAGCAGAAAGATGCCAACTATTGTTGCTTAAGTCAAAGTTCTTGGCACTTCAGTGAATTATACCTTTAGCTCTCATTACAACCCACCGCATTGAACAAAGTGAATCACACACACATTTCATAACTCTATATTCCATGAAAACTTGACAAGAAGCAGAATTCTTTGTCGGGGGTTCCCAAACTTTTTGACCCGGGGCCCAGTAAATCCATTCATGAACTTTTGGAGGACCGGTAATGGTCATTTGCATATTTGCATATTCATTAATAAAATGATGAATATTCAAATAAGTTGTTTCTGGTCCTCCCAAAAACCCCAGTGCCAGCTTTAGCAAAGCTTTTGATATAGTTACTCACAATATTCTTGCCACCAAGTTAAGGAATATGGATTGGATAAATGGACTGTAAGAAAGACAGAACGCTGATTAGACGAGGGTTTCCCAAACTTTTTACTTTAGTTGGAACCCTTTTTTTCCCCCCAATACTGCTTTTTGCAGCCCAAAAATATAAACACATAAAAAACAAACTGAGAAAATACCAGACATATAACATGTCTGGTATTTTCTCAGTAGGTAAGTTATATTATTAATAGATGTACCAGTTTGTAGTTTTGAACTGCCTGGCTGGTAAATGTGCTCAGGCTCCATGAGTGTGTCTACAAGCCAGACAGTTCGCAACTACTCGAGGGGTGTGTGTGTGTGTGGGGGAACAATAGAATCCCCGGGCCGGACTAACTCATGCTTTGTGCTTTGCAGTGGGGAGGGGGGAACAGGGGCAGCGTCCCAAGATCTACATATGGCCGGATAAGTCCCTCTCCCCGCAGGCTGATTCATTTCCCCCGCCCTGCCTCCCCAGGGCACCCCCCAGTGCCTCTCCCTC